AAATTTATAGAAAAAAAGAAAAACTTTCGCACAAAAAAAATTTCTCAAACAAAAAAAAAATTATTATTAATTAATAACAATTTATATTTATTTATTTATTAACGCGTTTAAATTTTATGAAAATAGGTATTAACAATAAAACCACAGTCAATTGGAAAATATTATTATAATTATTATTATTATTATTATTATTATTATTGTAAAAATAAAAAAAAAATTTCCTGTTTATAATAATTTAATTGACGTTACCGGAAGTTGTGGTGGTCGGCCCGCAAAAATTATTTAACCGCAAATTAAATTTATGACAAATAATGTAAAAAAAAAAAAAAAAAACTCCTATCACTTTTTATAAATTATTATTATTATTAATTTAATTTTTAAAAAAGGTACTAATAATACAGGTAGTTGCTATGTTTTTGCTGTCGTTAAATTTTTAAAACGTTTCTCATGTAATTATTTAAAATTTCGAAAATTCAGAATTTATTCATTTTCTATTGATTTTAGCAACCGTATATAAACATTGTGTGCGGATTTAACGGGAAAAACGGGATAAATGATTCTAACAGGGAGAGAAAATGATTCAATTTAAACAAAAAAATTAAAACGATTTAAAAATCGAAACGAGTTAAATAATAATAATAATAATAATAATAATAATAATAATAATAATAATAATAATAATAATAATAATAATAATAATAATAATAATAATAATAATAATAATAATAATAATAATAATAATAATAATAATAATAATAATAAGCCAACGGCCATAGCGTGCTGGTCACACCGGTTCCCGTACGATCACCGAAGTTAAGCAGCATCGGGTGGTGCAACTTGGATGGGTGACCGTTATAATAATAATAATAATAATAATAATAATAATAATAATAATAATAATAATAATAATAATAATAATAATAATAATAATAATAATAATAATAATAATAATAATAATAATAATAATAATAATAATAATAATAATAATAATAATAATAATAATAATATTTCTTTAACCGGCGCAAAGAAATAAAATTACGTATAAAAAAAAGGGAAAAGTTTTTATTTTATTATATCGAGTAAAAAAACCAACTTTATTTATTTATTTAGTAGACGAGGGATTAAACGACGACGGCGAAGGGTTACTATTGCTGTTACGACGAATTGAAATTTTTATTATTATTATTTTTTTTTTTTTTTTTTTTTTTTATTTGCTGGTGAAAGATACGAAAAGAATTTTTCTACAAAAAGAAAGAAAGAAGATACGTTATAAGCAGGGAAGGAATATTTACGATTTATATAACGACAGCAAATTAATATTCAAACTCGTGAAATGAATAATCGAGTAAAATGGAAAATGGAAAATGGAAAATCGATTATTATTATTATTATTATTACGTTTGAAAACTCCTATAGAATTTAAGTCTATTTTTTTTATAATATTTCCCCTCCCCTCCCCTCCCCTCTCCCCTTCCCCTCCCCTTTTTTTTTTTTATTTACAAAAAATTAAATTTCGCCAATGTTTATTATTATTATTATTTTTTGTCGTGAAATATTATCGTATTTTGTAAGAGTCAGTCAGTACAGCGTTGGCGACCCTTGACTGTCAAAGGCCCCTTCCTGCAGAATCAAAATCGAATGAATGAATGAATGAATAAATGAATGAATGAATAATTGGTGAGAGAGAGAGAGAGAGAGGTAAATCAAACGAGACGAGACTACCAAGGCCTCCTTGTTGTTTTTTCTAACCATTGAATAAGTAAAGTCAAACCGTCGTCACCTTATTTTCTCATTTGTTTACATAAAAAAGCATTTAGAAAATTTAAAATGAAGTTAGTTAGTTTCGACCACAACCCGAATTGAATTATTTATGCAATTAAGTTAATTCTAAGAGACTATTATGATCGATGGTGCATTTATTATTAGTATGACGTAAAAGGTAAAACTATAATAACCGTAATTTTGAAATTTAATTTATATTAAAAAAATAAGTTTTGAAATCGATAAACTACACTTTTCTCGAATTTATACGTATACGTTGTCGTGATTATTATTATTATGTTTTATTATTATTATTATTATTTAATAAAAAAAAAAAAGGTGCGACGAAGAGTAGTAGACTAAATTTTTTGAATAACAAAAGTTTCCGCTTAATGAAATCAAAAAAAAAAAAAAGACATTTTATAAATTATTGTTGATTTGGGTTGGCCTCCTGCTAGTGTGCACCACCTTTTCATTATTATTATTATTATTATACGACGTCAGTCATTTATTATTATTATTATTATTATTTTATTAACTTAAATAAGGTATATTCGAAACCATTTACCATTCGTTTTTTTTTTTTTTTTTTTTAATTAACTATATAAGACACGAATAATGAAAAAAGAGAAAAAAAAAATTAATTTTGTTTCACGTTATGTCATTAATTATAATTTTTTTAAATTTGACTATTTATGAGAGAGAGAGAGAGAGAGAGAGAGAGAGAGAGAGAGAGAGAGAGAGAGAGAGAGAAAAGGGAACGAAAAATTTACAAAGCATGTAATTGATTTTTAAAAGTCGACGACTACGTATCACGTTTGCCCGTTAATTTTAAAAATAGTTTTAGAAAACAACGTAAATGCAAATAAAATATTTAATTTACCATCGTAAATGTATATATTTTATTCATAAGGAAATTATTATTATTATTATTATTATTATATTATTATTATTTATATTATTATTATATATATATATTTATCCGTTACTCGTAAAAATAAAAAATGTCTGAAACTTGTTGTTTATCATCGGTCATGCAATTTGTAAATAAAAGTTCTAGAAAGTCGATTGCGCAGTGCAATAAGTATATAAAAATATGTATATGTAGTAAGAAATTTACATTAAGTAATAATTTAAATGAAAGACACGTAAAAGAAAGTTTTCTATTTATATTTAAATAATAATTATTTAATTCTTTACGCAAATGTGTTGTTTAGAAAATTAATTATTTTTATTAATTTTTTTTTTTTTAAATTAAAAAAAATGGGAAAAAATGTTTTTAACCCCTGAAAATTTAAACATCTGCAATTTGTCATACTTTTAAGTACGTTTAATAATCGTATGAAATTTGACGGCGTCGAATGTTATTTCAAAGCAACTTTTTTCTTTTGGCAAAAATTAAAAAAAAAAAAAAAAAAAAAAGGGGGGTAATATTTAGTATAAATCAAAAAAAAAAAAAATTTTAAAAAAACAAACCTATATTAATTGTTGATGAGGGGAAAAAATTTTTTTTATTTTTTAAATTTTTGAATTTTGTCCAAGTAATTAATTATGTATATTATACTTTTTCACGTTTAATAAATTCCCTTGTTCTTTTTTTTTTCGTTTTTTATAACATCATTAAAAGCAATGATTAATTTTTCTATTTTTTTAAATGTTGTTGGGCATTAATTTTAAATTTTTTTAAAAACAAAAATTTCAAACCGTCAAAATTAAATAAATTTTTTTTTTTTTTTAAATTTTAACTTCTTACATAATAACGGATAAATAATTTCCTTAAGAATTTTTTTTTGACAAACAAAGTTTTTGTTTCCATAAATTAAAATATAAAATTTAATAAATTTCATTTTACCTTATTTTTGCTGTTGTGAACTAAACAATAATACGGTTGTTTTCCTTTTTTCCTCAGCAAAATTATTTAATGACTTTTGGATACCTTCCACCATCCGATAAAGAAACCGGATTATTAAGAACTGATGAACAACTTAAAACTGCCATTAAAAATTTACAAAACTTCGCCAACATTCCTGCCACTGGAGAATTAGATGCAAACACTTTGGAATTATTAAAAAAACCACGATGCGGATTACCCGATTATCCAAATACATCCCCAAAACGTAAAAAAAGATACACACTTCACGGTCAAAAATGGCACTACACTAATTTAACATGGAGGTAAGTCTGAAAACAAAAAATTATTCAATTACTAAAAATACACATTCATTCATTCGATTATATTACTACTCGTGATGATTATGCGTTTTTAAAAACGTTTAAAATAAGATTTGACACTCGTTTAAAAAATAATGTAACAACCAGTTAAAAGGCGTCCATAACGTTTTTTTTATTTCTTTCAAACGAGCATTCGTTTTTTTCGGGGCCTTATTAATTGATGTTCAAAACCGAAAGGCGAAATGCTCAAATTATTTAATTAAAACTTACAAATTAACAATAACGATAATGTCGTCGTTAATAATTTTTCACTAATTGGAATCTATCAAAAAACGTAATATTAATTCAAATATTTTTAATTTGTTAATATTATATTTAAAATTTAAATTTTTAAAATTAAACCAAAAAAAAAGAACATGAAAAACTAAATGTTGCACGCACTCTGTCGACTGAAATAAGAAACTCTTTAGTCTACTTTATCGCCACCAGACGTCTCTTCGTACGCGAAATAACTGATTTTTATAATATGGAGAATTATGTTTTTAAATTAAATTTTTTTTTTTAAATGGAACATTAAATTTAACGATGATAAATAAAAAAAAAAAAGGGAGATTTGTGATGCTTCAGAAAAAAAAAAATCACGCTAAGGAATATAATAATTATTATTTCCTCTTAATAAAACTAAAAATACGAACGTTTTTTTTTTTTTTTGTTTTAATTCAGTCGTAAACAGTAATTTGAATCAGCAATTTAGATTTATACCCGGGGTACAATTTCCCTAAGAAATAAAAAAAAAAAAAAAAAAAAAAGAAAAAAAATTTTTAATATTTTATTTTGATTCATTCAATGACGGTAAAAAAAAAAAAAAAAAAAAAAAAAAAAAACGGTTTCGAAATTTATGCTGCATGTGTTTATATATTTATTTAAACATTTGGAAAAAACATGGCCGATTCCGTTGTTTTTATTGAAAAAGAAACATGCATGGAAAACGAGTGGTAACAAACGTATTTTCACCGGAAATAGTAAAAAAAAAAAGGGAGAATAAGGGGGGAGGGGTAAGAGGGTAATAAAAGGAAAAAGTTAGGGGTTTAAGGGCACCAGAGAAAAGTTGGGGGGTTTATTTTATCCGGGGCGCCAAACGGACGCTCCTCCGAGAATCTTTTTACGTCACCATCATTGATTGTTCTTATCGAAATCATTTTATTTAACTTTAATCATTTTCGGATTAATTTTTTTTTTTTTTTTTTCCTCGACGAAAAAACATTCAGGGAGAAAAAAAAACATTTTATTCGTATTCGTTTCGTAAATAAATAAAATAAAAATGATAAAGTTGAGATTTATGGCGGCAAACTTGGGAAAAATATTAACGTTTAAAATAATTACGAAAATAAAAAAAATTTAAATGAAAAAGGAAATAATAAGCCTAAAAAAATTTTTTTTTTTAAATTTAATACGCAAAATTCAAAAGTTTCAACGCACAAAAAAAAAAAATCAAAAAAAAAAAAAAAAAAAAAACGTTATGATGATTAAACGCGAAGGCGGATACTCTTATAATCTTTTTAACAACATCCGTCCCCTTATCAACTTCGTGTTAAAATTTAAAAAAAAAAAAATTTTTTTTTTTTTTTTTTCGATTCTTTTTTTTTCTTTTTCTCTCTCTTTTTATTTTTATTTTAAACGAGTAATAAAATATTTAATATAAAATAAAAAAATCCAATTAAAAATCACTTGAAAGAACAAAAAAAAAAAAAAAAAAAAAATGTTTCGATTACCTGTTACTCATAGCGTAGCAGAAATGAAAATGATTATAAAAATCAATAACGATTAAATTCCCTGATCAGGGAAAAAAAATTGTTGCCAACTTAAATCGATTCGTATTTAAAAATGTAAACAAATCTTTTGTTGTTGTAAATTTTTTGGTAAAATAAAAGAAAAATGAAAAAAAAAACTCTTGAGTTATATCACCACTTGTAAAATTTCAAATTTGAAGGGGGGTTTAAGTACGCGCACCCCCTCCCCCTTCCCCTCCCCCCATAAAAAGGTAAAATCGTTATTATCGTTTATTAAAATAATACGATTAATTTATATGTGGAAAAAAAAAAAAATTTTTTTTCCCTTTGTTTTTTACCCCTAAAAATTTGAAATAATGCGAACGAATAAATGGATGAAAAGTAAAAAAAAAAAAATTAAGAGCAGACGTAATAAATCGATTATGGCTGCCAACACTTAAAATTCTATTATTATTATTATTATTTTTATTCGACAATTTAAAACCGGTATCAAATTCTAAAAAAAAAAAAAAAAAGTTTTAAATATCAACAACTTGAAAAATAAATAATAATAATAATAATAATAATAATAATAATAATAGAAAAGGTTGAAATATAATATGAAAGGAAAACTATGCATCAAACAAAAAAATATCATATAAGAGCAGTAAATCACAGTTTTAATTTTTTCCCCGTGAGACAGAGGTGGGGAAGGGGGAGGGGGAGGGGAAAAGCTAAGAAAAAATGTAAATAAAAACTTAAAAAATCAATTGTTACGCCCCTGAATTAAATGTGGAAAAAAAAATTTTTAATAGCAACCGAGTGTGTATGTATGTATGTCGCAGTCTGCCATTTTGTCGCCATCTTGGCTCGCAATGGTATTTTGAAAATGTCAAGCAGCTTTTCACATTGATTATTAAATCAGCAGGAGGGTTTCAAACTTATTTCCCGGAGATTCCATCAGATTTTAGTCATTATTTTTACTTTTTTTTTTTTTTTTGGAAAAGACGGAGAAAAGTAGGAAAAGACAAAAAATTTTTAATTTTTTTTTTCCTCTCTCTTACGTCAACCTGACTTATTAATTCATTTAAAAAAAAAAAAAAAAATTGTAATTTATTACTCAACACTTCGATAAGAAAAAAAAAAAAAATTATTTTACATGAGTCAAACTTGAAATATTTTTACTAATGAAAGAGAGAGAGAGAGAGAGAAAGTTTTCTCAATGTTCTTTAGGTATCAGGTATAATTTTCACAACAAAACAAGAAGAGAGAAAAAAACAAAAAATTTTTTTTTTTTTTTGTAAATTCTCAACGGATTCTATCATCACCGACATGTTAGTTAAATTTCTATTTTTAGTTTTAAAATAAACAGAAAAAACTAAAAATATAAATGCCAAATTTTATATTTTTCGAGAGGAAACATATGAAAAAGAAAAAAAATCATTGCAATAATAATCTCAAAAAAAAACATTTATAAATTTCAAAGTTTAATTAATAATAATAATAATAACCAATAAATAATTTACACAAAATGGCGTCCGTTGGCATCGACAACATAACGAACAATACAAACTCTTTGTTAAATCCAATTCGAAAAAAGTATTATTATTATTATAAAACAAATGTAATGTTATTGTTTATTATTATTATTATTAATAGAAAAAAACCGCTTAAAAGATTTAAATTCTAATTACGGTTCTGAATTTGATGCCACGATTAATTTGACGAGACTATCATCCCCCAAAAGAATTATCAATTTTTTTTCAAACACACAAGTAAGTATAGGTTCTTCTCTTGCTATCAACATAATTCCCTCGAGCCTTGAAAATACAAAGCAGATGTTATATTTGTCAAACGTGGCAGCAACGCCCCTAATCTTCACATATAAGAAGACGCAAGTGGCAGAGAATATTTTATAGATTAGTGATTCGTTCCAGGAAGTCGATACGCGGTTCGTTTTTCATTTTCTTAACATTATTCGTTGATTTTAGTATTATTATTATTATTATTATTATTATTAATACAATAACTTTTTTTTTTTTTTTCTTATTTTATTGTGACATGGTTGGTTTTTCTAACGATATGGGCGCGTTGGTATGTATTTCATTATTTTTCTAATTATGTTAATTATGTAAATTTATACATAACGTTTGAGCTTTATATTTTTTTTTTTTTAAACTAAAATTCACGTTCTTGTACATATAATATATAAACATATCGTAAAATAGTTTATCGATAATAATAATAATAGAAACCGTCAAAACGACGCGAAAGATATAAAAAAAAAAAAAAAAAAGTTTTATCAAGTCGATGCAATGAGGAAGTTTTTGTGAATCATATCCTTTTTTATTAAGATTACGCGAATGAGTCTTACTGCTGCCACTTTTGTTCTTAATAATTTTTTTTTAAAGACCACGAAATCTTTCTCTCTCTCTCTCTCTCTCTTACTACTCTAAATGCGAGAATAATAGAAAAAGAAAGAAAATATATATATATTCAGGTATATAAATATTGTAAATCAAAACAAATCCCACCCGCCATTTTCATTCCACGTATTTTAAATTTTAACTTCTTATAAGTTAAATTTTACCAAAGCATCATCTTAATAAATGCAACAAACGTACAAACGAACAATCGGACAAACGACGGTTTGAAAAAAAAAAAAAAAAAAAAAAAAGAAATCGAGCAGCAGCGATTTCAGAGTGTCGGACGAAATCAGTTAGATGTTAGTCGTCACACAGTCAGTCAGTCACTCAGTCAGTCACTCACGTTTATATTAATAATAATAATAATTTTTAAATTTTTATTTATTTTTCAATTTCATCGTTTGAGTTTTTTTTTTTTTTACTTTTTTAATATTATTATTATTAATTTTTTTTTTTTAAACGATAATTTGGTGATTTTTATTCATAATTTTTGAAATTTTGTGTTTATTTATTTATATATTTATTTAAACAATAATAATAATAATAATAATAATAATAATAATAATAATAATAATTGATAATAATGGTAAGTTTTTATATAATGATAATAATATTTTTGGCTTTTTTTTTCTTTTTGATTTTTTTTTTTTTTGTTTTTTTCTATTAAAATATAATGAAATAGAAAATTAGGAGAGAGATAGATAGATAGATAGATAGATAGATAGATAGATAGATAGATAGATAGATAGAGAGAGAGAGAGAGAGAGAGATTTCTATAAGGAAAAAAAAATGATAAATGTGGGGGTTTGAATGTTTGCCTGTGTGTGTGTTTGTAAAGTTCGTAAAAGGATTTGAAAAAAAAGCCTGTTGAATGTTTTTTTTTTTTTGTTTTTACTTTTCATTTTACAAAATATTTATTTATTTATTTATTTATTCGAAATTTAATTTATTTAATTTATTTTTTTTTTTGGACGGGGAAAGATTAAAACATGACAGGAAGATGGGGAAAAAATTTTTTTTAAAAAAAAAAGGGGTAAATTTGTTTGGTAATAATTTCTAGACTTTAAAAAATATTTCAGGGTTTGTTTTTTTTTTTTTTTTTTCTCATTTTTAAGTTTTTCATAAAATCAGAGGAAAATCTACAACAAAAAAAAAAAAAAAAAGAAAAGAAAAGTAGGATAAGGAGGAAAGAAAAACGAGAAAAAATAATTTCGTTAAAATATCTGCAGCAAAATACAAATATGTCTCCCACAGAAAATTTTTTTTTTTTCATTTGTTTCCCTTCCTTTAAAAAAAAAAAAAAAAAAAAAAAAAAAAAAAAAAACTTTAATAATGTTTTACAATCTTATAGACTTAGCGTTAATATCTTCGGCTTTTTTTTTTTTTTTTAATCGGTTTTTCGTTATTTTTTTTTTTTTTTTTTTTTATAATACAGCTGCAGATACTCTCGTCGTCGCCTCATTTACTATGTAAATAAATATACTTTTTAATTAATCATTATTCTCAAATAATAATAATAATAATAACAATGCATAATAATAATAATAATAATAATAATAATAATAATAATAATAATAATAATAATAATAATAATATCACATAACGAACGTTTTTAGAGAGAAGGAAAAAAAAATTTTTATGTTTTTTTTTTGTTAAATCTATGCGAATTTTTTTTTCTCTCTCTCTCCCCACATTACGTTTTCTCTCATTTTCTCCTAAAAGCTTTAACGGCTTCCTTTTCCCCCTCCCCCTATTATTCCCATCGTAAAAAGGTACGCGAATATTAATAATAATAATTATTGCGTTCAAACACACACATTTTTTTAACATGTGATTTTTGTATCGCAAAAACAGAGGCGGAAAAAATTAAAACAAATGAAAATTTTTCCACAATTTTCTCGTTTTTTTGTTTTTTTCCTTTTAAATTTTCCACGTGTTGTTTTAAAGTCAATTTTGTTTTTTTTTTATATAATTTAAAATTTAAATTATTAAAGATGATAATGATGATGCATGTTTTTCTTTTTTTTTTGAGGAGAACGCATAAATTTTTTAATGTATTTTCGCGTCGAAAATTTCCATTTATAAAAAAGAAAAAAAACGTGAAAATTGTAAAACTCTTATCATCATCATTATTATAAATTTTTTTTTGTAAAAAGTTTACAAAACGTTTACACAAGTCAAAAAAATTTTATTTGTTAACAAAAAAAAACGTCAATAAAATAAAAGTAAATATAAAATAAAGCTTTTGAACGTTTTTATGAAAAAACGTGGAAACCCGCAAAATCGTTTCACGTGCCTTCCCCCCCCAAATCCTCCCCTCCCCCATTTCTCATATCCAAGTAATTATTGTATACGTTACCGTTTATTTATTATTAATCCGATAATATTTAAAAAGAATTATTTATTAACAAAAAAAAAAAAAAAAAAACACGAATAAAAATTTTTTTTTCTCCATAAAATAAATCAACGACAGCGACAGGAATTTTCTCATATTATTTTATTTATAGTATAATCAACGTCAAAAAAAAATTTTATTTTTTGAATAAAAATATATATAAACTTTTGTTTGTTATAAAAACAAATATTTGATGTGTAAAGGAAACAAAGGAAAAAAGGAAAAGAAATCAAAGAAATTCCTTCACACCGTGAATTCAACATCGTATTTCCGATCTCGCGGTTATTATTTTACAATATTTTATCCAACACTATCATTATTATTATTATTATTATTATTATTATTATTATTATTTGAAAAGAAAAGAGAAAAAAATTCATTATATATATATTTATATGCATAACATACCAAAAACAAATGGAAAAATTTTAAATTTTAAATAAAATAAAAAATTTTCTTTTACTTATTATTTAAAGGGAAAAAAGTAAACTGGAGAAAACAAAAAAAAAATTAATTTAACGAGAATTTCAAATAATTTATTCGAATTTAAAAAAAAAAGTCGTGGATGTAGTCACGGTAAAAACAAAATAAATGTTAAAGTCACGTTAAACGTTGATAAAAAAAAAAAAAAAGGGAAATTGAAAAATTACATTTAATCGCATATATAATCGATTTTTTTTCCTTTTTCTTTTTCCTTTTTTTAAATATTTGTTTATAAAAAAAAAAAAAAAAAAAACGATTGTTTAAATATTACCAGCACTCATTTTTTTTGGTATAAATCAAAAAAATAAAACCCTAAACGGATGTAAACAAAACAAACAAACGTAAACAACGCGTTTTACTTTTTTTTTTTTAATTAACCGCTAAAACCACGTCGATTTTATGACGTCACAAAACTAATTCGTTTATAGTTATTAAAAAACCGTTAAACATTTTTTTTTAAAAATTAAATAAATAATTTATTATTTATATTATTAATTCGAATTTTTTTTAAAGGTAAAAGCGTTAAATTTTACAATTTTTTTTCCTTCTTTTTATATATATATATATATTTAAAAATAAATAAAACTTTTTAATAGAATTTAAAAATAAAAAATAAAAAAAAAAACAATAACGACACTTTAATGACGCGATAAGACTAGGATTAATTACTTTTAAACTTGCTGCAAATTCCTTTGTCAGTAAAAAAAAAGGAAAAAATAAAAATGAAAGAAAGAAAGAAAAAGAAAAACAATAAAACTTTATTTGCAACGAGCTATAAATAAACCAATAATTATTTTTTATTTTATAGTTTTTAACTTTATTTCAATTCAAGGAAATTCGATCTATAAATTTTCTTTTCCCTTTTTTCTCTTAAATCCAAGATCGCACAAATGACACACGCACAAACAAACAAACAAACGAACAAACAATCGTATCGATTTTTTTTCTCATTCGTGCACATACATATATGATCGTTCATTTTTTTTTTTTTTACGGTTAATTATAAGAAAACTAATCGAATTTCATCTCTCTCTCTCTCTCTCTCTCACCTTTCATTCAGGTATAATCAAATTATTGCATGTAAAAAAGAATTTAATGTAAATTATTATTATTATTATTTATGTACGACGTGATGATTTTCAGAAAAGCGAGAAAAAAAAATAAATAAATAACCTGTAGCAAATTTAACGTTCGTTTTTTTTAAAAAAATAATATAATTTTAAGAAAGGTTAAAAGGTATACAGTCTCAGGAGTGTCACCGCCATTGTCACCGCCATCGTCACCGCCAGTAACATCACATATTATTATTATTATTATATGCGTCATTTCGGTCACTCACTCAACTTGGGTGTGTTACGTAAGTGATTCGCCACAACCTCCTTGAGTGAGCGTCCGAGACAGTCGATTCGTCTACAAGAATTTCCATTTTTGACAAAAAAAAAAAAAAAATGGCCGCCATCGCCGCCGCAACCACCGCCATGTCGATGTGAAACGTGAGAAGAAAACGTGGTAAAATATTATACGAGTCACAATTAAAAAAGGTAAAAACAAAAACGTCAAATTTTGCTACAGGTTATTATTGTCGCACGTTTGAAAATATCAACGGAAACAAAACAAAAGAACCAGGTTCATTTTTTTTTTTTTTTAGCATTAAATAATAATAATAATAATAATAATAATAATAATAATGATAAAAACACGAATCGAACACAATCGATTTTTTGTTTTTCTTTTATTCGTTCACAAATGTGGATTCGTGTCGAAAAATAAATTTAGTCTTTGTTTTTTTTTTCCCTAGCGCTCTCTTATTAGCACTATTTAAGTGTGTAACCGACCGTTTTTTTCCCCGCGAGACGGTACGAATCCATTTACTGGTGCCACGTTAAAAACGTTTTGTTTACCTGTCATTGTTTACGATAACGATAATCTTATGTTATTTTGAATTAAAATGAATTGAATTTCTTTTGAATAATACAAAAAATAGTATCGGTATAATTAAATTGAAAATTATTAAAAATTTATGCGATTATGATTTAATCGGAAAAGGAAAAAAACGAAAGAGAGAGAGAGAGAGAGAGAGAGAACCTTTTCGAATCGGTCGCGTCAACATTTCGTAACATTTACTAACCTTTTAAAGCCATTTAAAGAGAAAAAATAAAATTTGACATTTTCCCTTTTTTTTTTCCCCCCCCCTCAAAGTTTCATCATCATTATTATTTTTTCCTTCCATCTTAAAAACATTTAAAAAATAAAAACGCATTGTGATTTTTTGTTTTCCCCTCCTCCATCCCCTCATCCCCCACATCTCCCTTCCCAATTTCAACTAAAAATTTAATCCTTTTGAAAAACGATTTAATAAATCGAGATTTCAAAAAAAAAAAAACAAAATGGGGGGGGTGAAAAAAGTAAAAAAAAAAAAAAAAAAAACTAGAGACAATTAAAATAAAATGCCACCGATAATAATAATAATAATAATATTACTCTCCTTCGAATAAAAAAGAAAAAAAAAATCTATTGGTACTCGACAATATAACGTGATCGGAATAATTAATAATAATAATAATACTGTTGCGTACAAGGACGTCGAGAGTGCATTAACCAGTAATAAGCTTCTGCTGCTGTTGCTGTCGCTGCAGCAGCAAAACATCGGGATTAAAAGAAAAAATTTCCCTTACGAACGAACGGATCAAAGGTTAAACGTTAAAAATTAATCTCAATTAAAACTAATGAAATGAAATATGATGTCTTGTTTGTTATGCGGGCAAAAAATGCCGGGAGGAAAATAATAATAATAATAATAATAATTTATTTTTTTACTTGTAGCAGAAGACAAATCAATTCGAAACACAACCCAACCGACCATCATCATCATCATTCGTTCGATCTATAAGTGGTTTATATACATTCATACATAATTCGTTTCTTTTGTTATTAATAATATAATAAATAAAATCGTTCAAAAGCAATTTTAATCAATAAAAATTAATTTTTGGTTTTGTTATTTAACCAATCACGATAATATTTCCCCCCCTCCCTTTTTTTTTCGTTTTCGGATAAAAAAAGACAATTTTATTTAACGCTGCCTCCATTTTATGAATTTCTTTTCAATGAAAATATAAATGAATGGCTCATATCAGAAACTAACAAATTTTTAAGATGGCGGAGGGAAAAAAAAGTTACGAGGAATAAATGAAATAAAAAAAAAAGCTGTTTAATCTTTCCAACGAATACGGGGTCAAAGATTATAGTTTGGATCATTATTATTATTATTCCGCTGCCATAATCTCTCGAGTTAATAAATTCAAATATTTAAATCGTCTGTACTGATTGGTTCTGACACATGCACAAAAAAAAAGATTTATATTAGTTTTTAATTAAAAAAAACAAAACAAAATTTCACTTAACGATAATAATAATTATTGTTATTTTTAGTTTGAGAACTCTTCAGCCTCGAAATTTGGATGGCGGACAAGTTAGGGGAGTCTTATATCATGCTTTGGAAGTTTGGGCCAAACATTCAAAACTTACTTTTCAAGAACTAAACAGCGACAGAGCGGACATTTTAGTTTATTTTCACAGGTTAGTATTTAATACTAAACGAATTCGTTTAAGTTTAAAAAAAAGAAAGAAAAAAAAACTAATCATACTCATCAACTAATAGTGGTTACCACGGAGATGGTTATGCTTTCGATGGTAGAGGACAAGTTTTAGCTCATGCTTTTTTCCCTGGAAAGGAAAGAGGCGGAGATGCTCACTTTGATGAAGACGAAGTATGGATACTCGATCCCTATGCTGACCTCGAACAAATTGAAGGAACGAGTCTTTTCGCTGTGGCTGCTCATGAATTTGGACATTCGTTGGGTTTATCTCATTCTTCCGTGCAAGGAGCGCTCATGTTTCCATGGTATCAAGGATACGAGGGATTGACGCCTGATTTGCAATTACCGGATGACGATAAACATGCTATTCAACAATTATACGGTCCGAAGGAAAAACTCTGGGCAAAGGTTTTATTCAATTTTCATTTTAATCACCTAATAATTGTCTTTAAAATTTGAAAATAAAAAAATTTATTATTTTGCAGATACCACACTATCGACCTTACCGACCCGAGGCTCCTAGAGCGGAACCTCCAAGGCACTTGCCACCACCAACAAGACCTACACAACCGCCGACGAAGCCTACACCACGACCTACTAGACCGACAACGACTTCAACAACTCCTAGACCCTGGACACCGAGACCAACGCACCCGCCACGTACGCCACCTCCATCTCATCCGAAACCTCCTTATCCGTATCCTCCAAGTCCCAAACATCCTGAAATAACCCCTGAGAAACCTGATACTTGCAACACAAGCTACGATGCTATTTCTGTAATTAGAAATGAAGTTTTTATCTTCAAAGGAAAAGTAAGTTTGAGTTTAAATTTAAAAATATACCTGATTTGAAATATATATAAAAAAAAAAAGAAAAAACTAATATGAAAATATATGATTGATTTGTATAGTATTTATGGAGAATTGGAGACAACGGTTTGAGGCGAGAATATCCGGCTGAAATATCAAGGCTCTGGTACGGTTTTCCATCCACTTTTACCCACGTGGATGCTGTTTACGAAAGAAACGACAAAAAAATTGTTTTCTTCATAGGTAAAATTAAATTTAACACTAAGCAATTCTACTGCCATATTTTTTTTTACACATTCAATTTTTTTAAAAATTATTTTTCAGGAAAACTCTACTACGTTTTCGACGCAAACTATTTGATGCCTGGCTATCCTAAACCTATTCACTATTTGGGATTACCAAGAGATCTCGATCACGTTGATGCTGCCATGGTGTGGGGACATAATGGCAAAACTTATTTCTTCAGCGGTACAATGTATTGGAGATTCGATGAAGAAGTCGGAAGGGTTGAACTTGATTATCCGAGAGATATGTCTATGTGGAGAGGAGTCGGTTATAACATAGACGCAGTTTTCCAATGGAAAGACGGTAGGCTTAAATAAGAAAATGAATTTCCATAAAGTTTTAGTTATGAGAATCACATTTTAACTCAATGTTTTTTTTTTTTTTTTTTTTTTTCTCAAAAGGGAAAACATACTTTTTTAAAAATAAAGGTTTTTGGAAATTTAACGACATGAGAATGAGAGTTGAAAATGAAAGGCAAACATTATCTGCACCCTTTTGGATGGGATGTCCAAGAATGACAGAAGTAGAAGAGATTGAACCGACAAAACCTACAGCAAAACGACAAATTGGATCTTCATCCTCTTCTCTGATCTCAAACTATCACTGCCTTTTAATTATTATTTTACTTAATATATTCAGTTACAGATAAAACTGAATTCAAACTGTGATTTCGATTAAAAAAATTTTTTTTTTATACCTAAATAATTTTTATATATTTATTTTTAGTCCTAATAAAAATATTATTATAAATAATGAAAATAGATTTCTTTCCCTCCCCCCCTCCCCCCGCCCCCAATGTCCTTAATCAATTCATTATGGTTAAGATAATTTTATTTTTATAAACTTCGATTAAACCCGTTTTAAAAATTTCATATATTTTCTTCGCCATCGATTTTTATTTTACAAAAATTTATAGTTCTAATATGATTTGATGAATGATAATGTTATACTTAATGTTTATATACAGTTAATATACTTAATTTGATAAAATAATGATACAAATAAATTACGAACATTGTCTTGAAAAATTTTTTTAATAAATATAATTCTACCAATCAAACTTTATCAATTAAATAAATATAAAAATCTTAAAGGTAATGAGTTATATGATAGCGATTTTGACAGAGTTTATTTTTAAAAATGGCAAGTATTAATCCACATCTAAAATTTTAAAATAATAATAAACTCTTACCTTATTATTCTACTGATCCTCTAACCCACTAGTAGTTCACCTTAAATTCATGTAGTAATCTATTGCAGTAGAAAATGCAGCAAAACCTGCAGCTCCTATAATACCTGCTTTTATTCCAGCTAAAAAAAAAATAAAAATACTTTAAGCATTTTATAACAACAAGTTAATTTTAGAAGCATCATTATTAAATGTGTGTAGAAAATTACTTTTTATAAAAATTTTAATAAAATTAGAATTAAAATGAAATTAATTTATTTTAATTAGAATTATATATTACCTCTAAGTCCTATTAAAGCTCCTGTTACTCCCCCAGCATATGTACCATTTCTCCAATCACTTTTTCCTCTGTGCTAATTTATCGAAAAAAAAAAAAAAAAAAAAAAATTAAGTCTTGTTTTCAGATGATTAATGTAAATAAGTAATCTGCGATTATAATAACATAAAATTATTATTTTGACTTACTGATTCAATAGTACACTCTACAGCAGAAAAAACTAAACCCACAACGGCAAAATTTTTGCCATAACTGTGAGAGGTTACTCTAAAATCTCTAAATATTTCTTTTGCAGTTTGATTAGCTGCATCAGGCCCCGTAATTGTGGGGTTGACACTAGAAGAAAACAAACCGATGGCAACACCAAGCCCATAACCTGTAGAAAAAAAATTACAATCAATGTAATATAATTGTAAATTTGGATTAATGCAAAAAATTAATGTAATTTTCTTACCTATAACACAACTCATAAAAGACTTAAAAGCACAACTTTCAAATGCAGTTTCAATAGCATTTTCTTCTTTTGTTTTTACTTGAACTGGTCCTAATAACCTAGGTATAACAATATTCTCTCGATACTTTTCTTTAGTAAAAATTAAATTTTGTGCAATTTTTTCAAACTCTTCATTAGTAAAAGAAATCTTTCTATCCTTATTGGTATCCGCCATTTCGGTTAACATCATTATAATTGCCAACCTTGAAAAATAACAATTTAAAAAAAAAAAAAATTATACTTATAAAATAATTAATAATCTATTAATTTTTTTACTTTTAATTTCTTACTAAAACTTCTAGAAATAAAATAAACTCTTTAAATTTCTATAAAAAAAGGTGATAATTTTAGTAAAAGTAAGACGTTAAAATTGATGGAACGGAAGTTTTTGGTTTAGTTCAAAATGGCGTTGTGGTGTGCTAGTAAGTATTAAAAACTATTATTTGAATATATTTTTATGTTTGTAATGCGAAAATTCAGTCTGAAATCAAACTATTAGTATTTCAATTATAAATTAAAATTTTTGAAGTCTATACTTACTGTTCTGATAAAACTTAAATTATACTTGTTTTTCTTTTTTAAACCGGCATCTTTATTGAATATAAAACTTCTGTTTTTAGTTTCGAATGAAGTTCCCGAACATCCTGTTATTTCTCCAGCATCTGGCTCAATTTTCGAACGTCGTTTAATTGAAAAGTATATTATTGAAAATGGAGTTGATCCAATTAGCGGAAAAGAACTGTCGATTGATATGCTTATCGAAGTCAAAGCACCTCCTGTAGTCAAGCCTAAACCGCCATCCGCTACAAGTATACCTGCTATATTAAAAACACTTCAAGATGAGTGGGATGCTGTCATGCTTCATAGTTTTACTCAACGACAACAATTACAAACGGCACGACAAGAATTAAGTCACGCTTTATATCAGCATGATGCCGCTTGTCGGGTTATAGCCAGACTGTCAAAAGAAGTTACTGCCGCTAGAGAAGCCTTAGCTACATTGAAACCTCAAGCAGGCGTGACTAGTAATCCAACAGGAATACCTCATCCTGTAAGTATTTTTTGTTTTAAATTAATTACATCAAACATTTATTTTTTTTTCAATAACTAACTAAATGCCTTATAAAAATTATTAGGCTGTTGGAGCTGAAGCAGGACCTGGACTACCTAATCAACCAACTGAAGAAGCTGGCATGACGGAAGATGTTATTCAAAAATTACAAGACAAAGCCACTATTTTAACTCAAGAAAGAAAGAAAAAAGGAAGAACTATTCCTGAAGATCTTGTCCCTGCAGATTCAATTAGGAACTTTCGAACATTATCTTCTCATCCGGTAAGATAATTTTTAGTCCTTTAAAAAAATTTTCTTATTTAACTTATATACATTAGCTACATCTCATAAATATTTTTATATAGGGTTTGCATAGTGCTAGCATTCCAGGAATATTATCATTAGATGTTCACGCAGCAGATACTAGTAAAATTTTGACTGGAGGAAACGATAAAAATGCTACCATTTTTAATAAAGATACTGAACAAGTAGTTGCTATATTAAAAGGACACACTAAAAAAGTTACAAGAGTTATATACCATCCAGAAGAGGTATGTTAAATACTTATAAATTTATCGCATTATAATAGCATGTTATTTATATTAAAAAATTTTTTAATAGGATTTAGTACTAACTGCTTCACCAGACTCGACAATAAGAATTTGGGATGTTGGAACATCACAAACGATTCAACTTTTACATGCTCATGACGAACCAGTTACAGGTTTATCACTTCATCCTACTGGAGATTATGTTTTATCAACATCAACAGATCAACATTGGGCATTTTCAGATATTCGTTCTGGAAAATTACTAACTAAGGTATAAACAAAAAATGGATAAACAAAAAAACATTATTTGTGATTAGAATTCGAACTTCAAATATCGTACAATTTCAGGTTGCTGATGAAAATTCAACTAATGGTTCATGGTTAACAACTGCTCAATTTCATCCTGACGGTTTAATCTTCGGTACGGGAACATCAGATTCTCAAGTTAAAATATGGGATTTGAAAGAACAATCAAACGTTGCCAATTTTCCTGGGCACAATGGACCTATAACGGCTATATCATTTTCTGAAAATGGTTACTATTTGGCAACAGCCGCGGAAGATGCTTGTGTTAAATTGTGGGATTTACGTAAATTGAAAAATTTTAAGACTTTACAGTTAGAAGATAGATACGAAATAAAAGATTTATGTTTTGATCAAAGCGGAACTTACCTTGCTATAGCCGGAACAGACGTCAGGTACATTATTTTCTATTCCTTATCCGCACGCGAATTTTCTTCTTTTTTTCCCCCATGAATTTTCCATGGAATTAATTTTCTTTTTAGGATTTATTTATGCAAACAATGGCAAGAATTAAAAGTATTTAATGATCACACTGCCACTGCTACTGGTGTCAGATTTGGACGACTTTCCCATTACGTAGCCACTACTAGCATGGATAGAACGTTAAAAATCTACGGACTCTAGATATAATAATAATAATAATAATAATAATAATAAAATTGATGTAAAAATTCTTTTTTTTTTTTTTTTTTTCAAAGGGGAAAGAAAGCATGAAAAACATTTTTTTTTTTTTTTTTTTTTTTTTTCAATATATGATTTTCACTGATAAGTAATTATTTAAATAAATAAAGAAAAAAAACCGCCAAAAAATGATTATTTTCAGCCATTTTTTTTTCTCTCTCTCTCTTTCTAAAAAATTTTTAATAAGCGGACATAATAGTTTTAAATAATTATGTAATAATAATAATAATAATATGTTTTAAGAAGATTTTTTAGTTTTTAATTTTTTAATAAGTATTTAACTTCTTATCATACTGTTAAATCTTATCTTTCGATAATTAATTAATTAATAATAAACACATTTATAATTTTTTTAAATACGTTTTTTTTTTTTTTTTTTATCCTTTTCCTCTTTTTTTTTTTTTTTTACTAAACTTCCTTTTAAAGCATCTATTTTTTAAAAAAAAAAAAAAAAAAGTACAATTAAATAAATATTATAATAAAATTAATTATATCATCCCAAAATTTGATTTCTCATATGAAAAATTCACTAGAGTCCACACGATACACAAATTAACTAATTAACACCGTGAATTCGTTCGTTTGGGGATTTTTTTTTATAAAAAAAAAAAACTCATCCGTTATATTATTATTAATATTCTTCGAGAAATTATGTAATAAAAAATTTAAAAAAATAATTGATCAAGTGAGAAGAGTATCGTCCAAATCTTCTTCTTTTCCTTCTGGCAAAATTGCAACTTTTTTAAGTACCTTAAAAAAAAAAAACATGTGAAAAAACCAAACGTGAAACCTCTCCGCCCCCCCCCCCCCACCGGTGGTTGTTCGGAAAACAACCGCCATCTTTTAATGCAAACGAAAAAATTGATAAACGTGTAATTTTTTTTACCTTCGAAACGACATCGCTGAGTGATTCTTTGGCACCCAAATCCAACAGTGCTAAACATTCTTGCAGTCTTTCTTCTCCCGATCTCAATCCCAAAACTGCAACCAATGCCAATTCGCTGTTGGCTTTAACGTACCCATTTTTCTCTTTCGTTCCGTTCACCAACATCGGTATGACGATTTTTAAAAATTCTGGTACGAGTAAATTCGGCGGTACCGTCCGCGCTAAGAAATTACAAACTCGAGCTAGTAACTGTTTAACTTCGTTGCTGTTGTGATTCATTGTCTGTAACAAAAAAAAAATTTTATTCGATGGTAGTAGAGTGACGGGGGGGGGGGGGGGGGGAAATCCTCGCAGTTAAAACCAATATACTCACTCTGACAAATGGACCTAAAATTTGAGTCGGAAGTGGTTGCTGTGTCGACATTAAATATTGTAATAAATAACCGCAGGATCGAACTCCGTTCATGGCGATGGGTACTCGATCGGCTCCCAAGTGAACGAGTAAAACTTTACAAAGTTTATCTTTAGTCTCGTTCGTGTATATGACTTCCGGTGCTTCTTTTAACGCAACGTACAAGGCTGAACTTCTTCCGTGACGTAACATCCAGTCCAAAGAAGTATCGTCTTCTAAAAAAACCAAAACCAAAAACTTTACGTTATCCATAAATAAAATAAAATAAATATGTTTAACTTACGTAGCAAATGATCCGTTATTGTCGTGTTTAATAATTCCGGAGGAAGGTATTTGCAAAGGGCTCCCAAACAACCTGCAGCCGCGGATCTCGTCACATCTTCCGGATGATTTAAAAGACTCAACAAAGTGTTATAAACTTGTTTTCTTAACGGTAATGTCATTTTATCTCCAGCCGGAGTGATGACTCCTCTTAAAGCTTGTAACAATGTTTCCCTAAAAAAAAAAAAAAAAATTACTCGTTATTTTTCCTTCCTCCCCCCCCCTTCCCAAAAAAAGGAGAAAACAAGAACAATGTGCTTACCGTATCGAAGAATCATCCGAGCTTTTTATAGCCGAGTGTAATTCGCTAAATAATGGATCAGCTTTCGTGTGTATAAGAATTAAATGACCCAAAGCATGAGCTGCTTTCAATCGTACCTGTCTATTTGAATCGTTTAAAGCTTTCAAAAATGTCGTTTGAAGTTGAGGTAGAAATTGTTTTAACATTAATCCAACCTTTAAATAATAAAATACATTTTAATTTTTTTTAAAACGATACCTGAAAAAGGTTTTTGTCTACTAGAGTTAGAGCACTTGAGAGGACTAACTAACCTTTGCCAGGAGCAAAGCAAGAGTTTCTAAAACGGCTGCTTTTACATTCCAATTAAACCTATCACCTAGAATTCTAATCAATGGACCGGTGATATGAACAACCGAAGGTTGAAGTGCTTGAGCACTCGTCAATTTGATAACTTCTCCTAATCCCTGTGCTGCTTGTTCTTTAACTTCGGGAAGTCCGTTTAAGATGGCTTCACGAAATATTGGTAATATTGGAGTGATTCCCTTAAAAAAATTTAATTTAATTTAATTTAATTTAAAAAAAGAAGCAAGACGGATTATCTGCATTAGTAAATCTTACTTTCGGTAAACAAAATCCTGGCAAAAGATCTTGGCCTTTGAGATCGCTGACAGCGAATCTCACGGCTTGTCTAACATCGGCTACGTGAGCCATTTGTTGATTTGCATCTAACGTTCTGGTGACGGCACTCAATGCTTCCCAACTCATTTGCAAAACATCGCTGGAAAATAATGATAAAATGATTTTAAAAAAATATTGAAATTTTTAAAAAATGATTTTCAAAATTCAATTTTCGATTTTTTCACCTGTCTTCATCCGTGAACAAGTGAATAAGACCTCTGAAAAGCTGTGGCACGTAGCGAGAATAATCTGCTCTTGTACTTCCGCAAAAAGCGCAGAGGAGGGTAGCCGCTGAGAGTCGAAGTTGAACTTTATCGGATTTTGTGCTTTCCATTAGTTGATCCATAATTGTTCGAACTCCAACTTCATCGGTAACAGACAAAACGACCGCTTGACAATATTCCAATTCCTAAAAATAATTACATTTAATTACCATTTTTGCGTAGGGTTAGGTACGGTAAGTATGTAATAATTATGGCACACGGAAAAAGTTTACTTGAGCTTGTTGTGGTGTACCCTGAGCACTGGGCAAAGCTGTCAACAAAGCAGGAAGTATTTTTGGTAAATATTTGGTCAGAGCGTCACCCGCAACGGATGCTAATATGGATAGAGCTTTTGTGTTGACGGGTGGCGCAGTCAATTGTGGAACCAAATAAGGCAACACAACTCGAGATTTGATAGCCATAACTTGTCTGAGTCCATCCAACGTAGATTCAGCCAACACCGAATCTGAAGAATTCTAAAAATGAAACAAGATTAATTAAAAAATTAAAATACAATAAATTTTGTAATTGGTTGAAGTATTTACCAGTTGATGTAACATAGCCGGTAAAATATCATCCAAAGCTCGAACTCCGACGGTTGAATGTAAACTATCAAATGTTTTAGCTGCTGCTTGTCTCACTTCCGGAAGTGGATCGCACAATGCTTTACGAACTGTGGGTACCAATGAATTTACAAAAGTCAATACCATATCTCGACTAGTCGAAGCCATAATTTCACTTAAACCAATGCAAACACCCTGTCTTTGGTCAGGTTGTGAAGATTCTAAACCTTTTTCTAAAATTGGAATTATTTCGGGTAAAACTCTTTCTCCTAATTTTCTAACGAGATCTCCCAACGTTCTAGCAGCAACCTATTTTATTAAATAAAATAATTAATTTTATGATTGCAATGAATTAACCGATTAAAAAAAAAAAAATCAGTCGTTATAATTATTTACTTGTCTTTTATCGAGACTAGTAGATGCTAAACAACCCAAAAGAAGTCCGAATAAAGTTGGTAAAATTTCACGAAGCGTTCTTGGGGTATTAGTGACAACAACTTTCCACACGTGAAGAGCAGCTTGACGAACCATCAAAGCTACATCGGATCTGCCCATGTAAAGACCGGCAAGAACCCTGTTTCTTCTTTCTGCTCCTAGAGCGTCAATAATGGCCTAAAACCAAAATTCAAAAGTAAAATAAATTAGAGTTTATTAATATTTTTAAAATAGATAAATAAAAATTTTATTTAACCTTATGAGATTGTTCGGTTCCAAAATTATCATCTTCGTCGGCCGTTTCCGTGCTCATTTTTCCCGACACTCCAGAAATTAAATAAAGAAGGTCTCCTAAAAGTTGCACGGAAGAATAACGAATTCTCCAATTATCATCGAATAATCCGATTTCTAATTCGGGTAGTAACAACATAATAGCAGTGTCAGCGTATAAAGTTACGATCCTCTATTTAAAAAATTACAAGAACAAATTAATTAAATTTTTTAACCGAAAACTCTCAATTTATTTTTTTAAAAAAAAATCACCTGTCCTGCTTTGAGAGCCGTGTCTCGCACGTATTCGTTTTCGTCTGCTAGTGCTTTTAAAATAGGATTTATAATTTGACCTATGTAAGGTGTAAACTCATTTGTAAAAACGACAGGCATGTATATAAACATCATGATGTATCCGTCCTTCACGTGTGGTGCTATATCGGTCCTTTCTGCCGTAGCAATTATGTCTACAAAATAATTTGAATATTTAAAATCTATCGTTATTCACGGTAACTTATTCAAACCTTAAAAAACTTTTTTTAGAAATTTACCAGGCATTAGTTTGTGTAATTTTTCTACTCCCAACCCGCCGACGACTTCGCTGAGACCTTGAGCTGCACCGGATCTATCGACCGAACTAGATTCGGATGTCAACGTTTGCATTAACCAAGGTAGCAAATCTTCAAAACTAGCTTCTCCCATGCCTCGAACCATAGCACCTAAAGCTCGAGCGGAAACACTTCTAACCTGATAAATTTAAAATTGAAAAAATTAATCTTTTTTTTTTTTTTTTTACATCAACATTTATTTTAAGTTTTAAAAAGAGTACTACCTCTGGTACCGGATCCAATAATGATGTTTTAAGACCGGGAATGATGGCAGGCAAATACGGACTAAGATCTTTTTGATCGGTCAGAGAATACATATTTCCGATAATTTGAGCAGCCATTTTTCGCGTTTCCGTTGAACGATCAGTAAAAGCTCTTTGAACGACAGGCATGATTAACGCCAAAGAAGGAGCATCTATGAAGTGAACAAATTTAGTATCAAGTAACGTTTGTAAACTAGTAGCCGTTTTAGCAGACGGATCCTGAAGTGTAAAAAATTAAATTATGTGTAAATGAAAACTTTTAAATATAAATAATGTCAAATGTTTGTCAAACGTGATTTCGCACAACTTCACCTGCAAAGCTTCTAATAAAACTGGTACGATTGCTTGAATTTCGGGATTTCTAATAACGGATCCGATTACTTTGAGAGCTTGAGCACCCGCCTTTTGAACTTTCATGTGAGAATCACTGAGAACTTCAATCAGTTTGGGTACGATGCTAGGTAAACAAGAGGATAATTGTTTTGGCGCGCAATAAGCCATCGCTCCCAATAATTCAACAGAGCCTGAGTTTAAAAACAAAAAACTTTATATGTAATGAAAATTAATTTACTCGATAATAATATCATTCACTTTTTACCTGTCTTTGTACGCCAAGAATCTTCTTCTAAAGCAGCTAGTAAGGACGGTAAAACAAGTTTGACACCGTGCGCTGATAATTTACTCATAACAACTTTCGCCGTGTCGTCGGTTGCACTTCGAACAAATTGACTCGTATCTCCGAAACATAAAAGTAAATGAGGAAGAACGTGAACTATGTACGGTTCAAAGAGTCGACCCAACATGTTGCAAAGCATTTCGAAAGCAAATAAAGCTCCCTCTCTTTGACGATAATCACTCTTGTTTTGAATGGCAGCAGTTAGAGTATTCATTATATCTAACTGTTTTAAAGCTAATATTCCCATTCCCTTAACGAGTCCTTGAATGAAAAAAAAAATTGTGTATCAATTGTTAAATTTCAAATATTCATTTATGTAAATGATAATAACGTACCAGCCAAACCATAAGCTGCTCCTTTTCTTTGACCATAATTACCAGATCCTAACAACTGTTTCAAAAGCTTACGTGCCAATTCTGGAGCATCGTCTTTAATGGCTGGAACTAAGGGTGGTAAACAGTTGGCAACAGCTTCTTGAACCTAAATCAATTAAAAACAATCTTAAGTTGAAAAAAAAAAAATTATTTTAAATTTAATTTTAAAAAAAACTATTTACCTGCTGTGAAGGAGTTGAAAGTGCATCGACTAATCTTTCGACAATGGGTTTAATTTTTTGATCATCCGTGTCTAAATGTCGAGCTAAAGAACCCATTAAAATAATGACCGATTGCCTAACCGCATCGTAACTACTAGAATTCGGAGCTTTATCTAAAAATTCTTCGAATACAGGTAATAAACTGTTTATTGTATCCCGACCGTGAAGGTTCACCATAACTAACGCAGCAGATAAAAGATTTTTTCGAACCTAATTTTTAAAAAATACTCAAAATAAAACTTTTTTATTGTTTAAAAAAAAATAAATATTAATTAAAAATTTACAAACATCGGCATTTCTATCTCCCAAACCGACTGAAACAAAAAAAGACACAAGTTCAGGCACCATATCTAATTCGAGTAAAGGAGCAAGTTCTTCTAAAGCCAAGGCAACTCCACTCCTGGGTTCCCACGTATCGACCGGATGCTCTGTTATTCGACCTAAATGATTAACTTGCGGAGGCATCATCTAGAAAAATTAAAATTCATTGGAGTGTCTTTGGGTAAACTACCCTTCATCATTTGCTTTAGAAAAAACATACCACCAATTTTTCCATGAAAATATTTTTGAGATTGTCCAACGAGTTTTTCACCAACATCGGTTGATAGTTTAACTTGATTAATGATGCCAGTGCTTTAGCACCTGCTTGCCGGATCGCTGCAACAGGATGAGTTACATCTTTTAGCAATTCGTCGCACAGCAGTAGAGGATCAGCCTTTAATTTTGCAATTTCCCAAAGATTTTTAGCCAAAGCAGCGTTATCTTCGTTTACATCGTGACAAGCTACCCAAACTCTTCTTATGATGACTGTGTTTAATTCAAAGTTTTCTTTCGAACTTGGAAACGATTTATACATGGCAATTAAACCCTGAAAAAAAATAAATTTTTTTGGGTGGGCATCATTTAATTAAAAGTAAATTTAATTTAAAAAAAATATTCACTTTTAAACCGGCTTCTCGGACAATATTTGAAGGACTTTGAAGAGCCGAAAGTAAAGCTTCGATTTCACCATATTGTGCTCTGCAACAACCGTTAGCATCGCCACTAGCGGCAGAAGCAACTTCTAATAGTGTGTTACTAGCTAGTTGCTGTAGTCTTCCTCCGTGATTACCTAAAAGTCAAAAATACAATAATTTTTCCGAATTGAAACGATCAAAATTAAAATGCATCTAAAGTTACTCACTAATAAGCTCAATTAATAAAATAAGCATTTGCTGTCTCATTAATAATTTCGGATGCCATAAATCGTCATCAGATTTCCCTCTCATTTTCGCATGATCGGATATGATTTGTAAACCCGTTGTTAAAAATGTAACATCTTTTGTTTTTTCTAATAACGAATGTTTTAATACGGCAAAACAATAACAAAAACAAGGTGCACTTAATGTTTCCGGCGAAGTGTACAACGTAGGTATTCCATTAACAGTTCTTTTAATTGCTTCTCGCAAAGGCTCCTCTTGCCATGCGAGATCAAGATCACAAAGCGGTTTTAATACCCTTAATGTAACATTACCCACTAATTCACCAAAATATGATTGGTTTCCGGTAAAAACGCATTTACCGAGATCTAAATAAAGTTTCGACATGTACGGAGCAGATAAGGGAGAATTTAAATTACTTAATACAACCGGAAGTAAATCGTTAAAAAAAGTTGATAATTTTTTTGGACATCCGTTCGCGGCTGCCTTTATCATGGACACGCATACAAGTAAATTGCCATCTATTTCTTTTAGTTTACACCGAATCAAATTTTCCTTTTCCATTTGCACCCGAATAACTTCTTTTTGTTTCGGCGTGAGTTCCGGTTCCTTTAACTTTCCAGATTTTCTTTTTTTCTCTTCCAATTCTCTTCTCAATTGAAGCTCCTCCAACTGTTCTTTAAAAGAGTAAACTTTACTTTCTCTCTTCATGTTAGCCGTAAAGGATTGATCTTGATTTTGTCTAAAAGTATTTAAAATCTATGAGTCTGCGTCATTTTTTTTTTTTTTTCAAATAAAAATTTTATTAAGCAAGTTTTATTATTTACCCTGGTAAAACAGATTTATCATAGAGTTCTCCTTCCGGTGTCAAATAAGTAAAATATTCATCTTTGGAAACTTTAACTCCCGATATATTTTTCAATAATGATATTACGCGATTTACTATGGCCGACGTAAAAGTATCCGGTTGCAACTGAACAACGGTTTTTAAGGCACTTTCAATACTTTCACCCGGTTGGAAATCATCAATTAATATCTTAAGTAACTTACTTTTTTGTCGCGACAAAAATTTCGTACAATCAATATTTAAACGATTTAATATTTTTCGCCATAAGTTTTTAGAATGACTTCCTATCAAGAAAAAAAAAAAAAAAATTAAAAATTATAATAATAATAATGAAAAAAAATTTAATTCGTGAGAGAAAATAAACGTACTAAAAATAGGATGATGAGCGCAAATAATGGTAGCAAGAGCCAACTGATAACTATCTTCTTCCGTTAGATTTTTACCATCGCACATGGCAAAAAGTGCTTCCGCCAAAGAATTTGCTGTTATTTCTTTTTCGGGTACCGTGACATTGTCTTTTCCGGCAACTTCAGCCTTAACGATTGAACCTGAAACGACTGTTAAAAAAAAAAAAAATTCATTGGAAAACCTTTCGTTACAACACAAAATTTAAACGAAAAAAAAAAAAAAAATTTTTTTTATTTTTTTTTTACCGGCATCAAGAAACGATGGAAATTCTTTAATAAGTGACAAAGCTAATTTTGTACCACCTAAAACTGAAACAAGTCTTTTTACCACATTTCTACTAAATTCACGAACGGAATTATTAGAAACGGTCAAACAATAAATAATAGCCTTGTAAATAGGTTGTCCTTTCCCGTTTATCCGATCAACGTGATCCAAGAGAACGCGTTCACTTAAACGCACAACGTTCTGTAAACCTAAAATGAAAAAATAATAATAATAATAAAAAACCGTATAAAACACAACGAAATTTTAATTATTGAAAAATAATAATATTCCAATACCGCTATCGGTGGCATTGGCCAAAAATTTTTCGGAAACAAAATATTGTTTGTCCATATCAAGCACCAAATTCCATAAAATGTTTGAATGGCGTTCGGAGCATTCACCGATCGAAGTGAGACGCAAAAGTAAACACGCGGCGCTTAATGATTCTAACTGAGCAGTTTTCGGTCCGGCTCCACTTTTATCAAGAAAGCTAACTAAAATTCCAATTAAAGCACTAGCTTGTTTTAAATTACTCCCGTGAAAACATGAATTCATACAGTCTAGATAGGCTGTTTTTACTGCACTAGTCGAACTCTTTAAATCTACACAAAAAAAAAAAAAAAAAAAATATAATTTTAGGTAGAGTTTAATGTTTCGATTAAAGTTTTACAAAAGAAAAACTCACTTATTCCCTTTTCAAACCAAGTAATTAATTTTTGAGGTACTTCGACAAAGTTGGCTCCCCATTTTGATAACATTTCAAGAGCTTGTATCAAAGTTTTTTCATGCGCTTCAGTTTCGAGAACTTTAATAAAATGATCAGTTGCACTTACTGCTATTTTTTGATAACTATTACCAGTAACGTTACATTTACTTAAATTACCAGCACCCTTAAAAAAAAATATTTGTCATTAGGATAATCGATATTTATATTTCCGAAAAAAAAAAAAAAAAAATCATAATTATAAAAACCTGTAATAAACTAATTTTATGAGTGGAAACTGTTATCTTTCCATCAGATCCATGTAAAACAGCAAACAAATGATTCAGTAAAGATTGAATAGCTTCAGAATCTGAACATTGAGAAGCTAATTGTTGCAATGCTTCAGCTGCTTCGTCTCTAGATAAATCATCTTTCGAATGCAAGTTTGCTTAATTTAAAAAAAAAAACAAACAAATTATATGAAGTCAATGTTTTAAATGAATATAATATTTTATTGGAAAAGATTATGGTAAAAAAAAAATTACCAATCAGAAGTTTTCCAATTTCTAAAGCATATCTGCTAAGATCTAGAGAAAAACCTTTTAAAATTAAACCCACACTATCTAAAATAATTTCTGGAGACCTGAGAATAGCTTTTTGTAATGATGGTTGAATTGATGTTGAAAACTCTTCATGGGTTATCAATGATAATAATCCTTCACAAGATTTTAAAATGTATGATTCAGGTTTTTTTTTACTTTGCAATATAACCTTGATTAAAGTTTCAATTACGGCAGGCTAAAAAGCATATAAGAAATGATTTTAATGATGCAGGAAAATTAATAAATGTATACACTCATTGATTTGAATAATTTATTTTGTACTTTACCTTACATTTCATTATTAAATCATCTTGTTTTTTCGATTTAAGGTATTTTAAAAAATATGAACCAAATATAAGAGAATGTGGTGATGGGTCTAACTTTGTCAATCCTTCTGCATAAAGATCCCATAGAGAATTTGTTGAATCCCACATTGATTCCAATAGGTGATGTGATTTACTAATTAAAATTTTATTTTCTGCCGCACAAACATTTTGAACAAGTATTGCTTGACTTTCAATTAATTTTGGAAATTCATCCTTTAATGTAGCAGGTTCTTTCTTATTACTACTCTGTGCCAAAATAGTTGTCCATGATAATGCACATAATGCAGTTTGAGCAGTATTTTTACTATCAAAAAAAAAATAAAAATAACACTTAAATAATCTATTATAAGAGTACTGACATTAAAATAAGCAGAATAATAATGCACCATATTTATGAGTACCAAATTTGTTATGATACAATATGAAAAAAACGTAAAATAAATACTACAAATATCGAACGTGGAAATATTTCAAAAACAAAATTTTACAAAATAAGAATTGAATAAAAAATTTAATACTTATTATACTTAAAATAATATATAGCTATTTTTTTACCTGGCTACTATCAACTTGTTTGAAGTAGCATAATCAGAAACAGATGTGAGCAAATGTTTAAATGCCCAATCGTAATGGTGTACGGTGAGCTCTTTAATTAAATTTCGTATATAAAATTTGGAAGGCCCGTCTTGATACCTGGGTAATGTAAGTAATATAACTTTACATATTCCACGAACGATCGATTCAGTAACGTTGGGGTGTGACAAAACAGATATGACATTTTCAATAACTTGTTTTCTTTCGTTACGCTTTGAGGTTTGAATTCGAATTGGTAAATCTTTTAAGGCCTTAGCAAGCTAAAACAATTAAAAATATTTAACGATAAACAGTAATTCATGGTTTTCATTTACCGATCGGTTTACACGTGAGCCGATACCTACCTCACTATCAGCCATTTCTATATTATTTTGATTTCAAGTTATCAGGGCCTTAACCTTTGAAAAAGTAATATATTAAAAATGCTTTCGAAAGGCAATAATATTTATTTTCTCTATGCTTTAGAAAGAAATTTTTATTTGTTTTGATTTTGTTATGTGCTCTATTTATTAAATTTACTCTATGGTCGAAATCTAACAACTCTATTTGGGCTCTGATACTTTGTTTCGTTGGATTATTCGCTAAACCAATTATCAGTCTTAGTGCATTATTACCTTTTAACAATGAAATTATATCACACTATATAAATGTCAGAGAGGTTTGTTTTTAAAAAATCATTAATAATTTTTTTAACTTTAATTTTAGTTTAAACTGAATTGGGTCATGCTTTAAAACTAAAACAACTTTTCTTTTGGCCTTCAATATTCATATCAATAAATGATTAGTTTTAAAATAATAATAATAAATAAAAGCATATTATCTAAAAATTAAAAATAAACATTGTTTAAAAACAATTTCGAACTTTTTTTTTTTTCTGTAATGTAAAAAAAAATTATAAGTAATTCAAAGCACAAATAATTATCTTATTTTTATTTAGACCTAATGTAATACGAAAATAGAAATATGACGAAACTACACGATCCTAATCGGCCTCTTCACATTGTGCATTTTGAATCTCCATCACATACTGGTACACTTCTTTGTGGTCTTCAAGCTTTAAGATGTAAGGGTCTTCTAATTGATGTAACTTTAATTGCCGAAGGAGAATCATTTTCAGCTCACAAAGCAGTTTTAGCATCATGTAGTGATTATTTTAGGGCAATGTTTACCGATGCTATGAAGGTTATTTTTTGTACATTTTAATAAGTTTTTGAAAAATTCCACTGCCATAATTATATATTGTTGAATATGAATATTTTTAGGAATCTAGAGAAAGTGAAATAAAGTTAAATGGTGTGACTGCTGCTGGGATTAGATTATTATTAGACTATGCTTACACTTCTCGTCTTGCCTTAACTTTGGATAACATTCAAGATGTTTTATCTGCTGCTAGCCATGTTCAAGTTGTAGCATTAGTTGAAGCTTGTTCTAGTTATTTACAAGTAATTATAGTGATCTTTTTTTTTTTTTTTTTTTTTTTAATCTCGATATGCAATTTGCTAAAACCTGTTTAAAAAATTTTTAAATTTCAGACTCAACTTGATTTAGACAACTGCATTGACATAGCAACTCTAGCTGAAATTTATTCATTGCCTCAATTAAGAAAACAAGTTTATCGTTTTATGTGTGCTCATCTCAGTGAATTTTCTAGGTCATCAGATTTTCAAAGACTCTCACCTGCTCAATTAGAACATTTACTTGCCTGTGATTTTCCAGTTGATTGTTCAGAAACTGAGGTTAGTTTTTCAAAAAAAAAACTTTTGATGATAAATTTCATGTTATTTTTGTTTATTATTATTTTTAGGTTTTAAATATTGTCATACAATGGATTAAAAGGGGTGGTGAAAAATTTCAATCTGCGGCTCTTAAAATTCTTCGTAGGGTTCATTTTTCAGAAATTCCAGATCAAGAATTGGAGTCTTTATTATCAATCATTCAAGATTCTTACCTTACTAGGTATGGTTTTTTTTTACATTTTATCATGCACCCATTACAATAATAAAAATTGATTTCTTTTTTTTTTTAAGGTTAATTGCCATGGAAGCCTGTTTTCAAACAAAGCTAATCAAAAATCATTCTGATGTAATTCCTCCTCTTATTAATTCTAGAGGAATGGAATTGGCCGTTATAAAAGTGGGAGGGTTTGGTTTAGGTGGTATAACTAATGAAGTAACTTACTTTTTGGCCAGTTCAGGAAAATGGAGACACTTGACAAGCATTCCTCATGTGGAGCAGTGCAACTTTGGTACTGCTGTGCTAGATAATGAGCTTTACGTTGTTGGAGGTTGCTTCAATCAATCATTGCAGGTCTTGTTTTTAATAATTCTAGAATTACAAACAAAAAAAAAAAATTTAGTTAATCATGCAAAAAACTTAACGTGATTATAATTTGTTTTCAGGAAAACATTCATCCGTTCGGATTTCGTTACTGCCCGCAAGCCAATAAATGGAGTACAATGGCTCCGATGCAGAGGGAGAGATGTAGATTTTCTTTAAATGTAGTCGCTGGAAAACTTTATGCAGTTGGCGGAAGTAACGAATCCGAGGACGACGACGGTCAAGAGGTCAAAGAGAAAACTTTAACCAAATTTTTTTTTTTTTTTTTACTGTTGAAACAATAATTATTTTTTTTTTTTTTTTACCTTTAGGATATTTGTTTATGTGAATGCTACGATCCAATGACGGATAGCTGGGAAGCTGTCACGCCGGCAGTCGGAAATAGATCTCAACATGCGGGGGCTGCATGGCCTCCAAATTCTCCCAATTGTTTGTTTATATCCGGTGGATTGGATAGAGACATGGTTCTTTCATCCATGCAATGTTATGACAAAGTAAACGATAGATGGGAAAATAAAGCGCCCATGCTTTCTCCTCGAGCGGATCACGTTATGCTAACGTTAGGTAGAAAAGAAGTTTGGATAAAGAACCTAAAAAATAAAAGTCGTTGCGGTTATAAATTAAACATTTTTAATTTGTTGCAGACGATAAAGTTTATGTTTGTGGTGGATGGAGAGAAGATGAAGCTACAGGTGGTAGGCTACTCGTAGATACAATTGATGCATATCACGTGTCCGAAAATAGATGGGAAACGGTTACTGTCGTACCTGCTCCCAGATACCATGCTGGAATAGTATCCATTCATAAAAGAATATATTTTATCGGTGGCTTTCATAGTGACTCCCTGTTTGACAGAGCAACTGGTAAATATTATTTATATAAATTAAATTTTAATCTCGCATTTCAAAACATTTGATTTTCATTAAACGCGTTTGTTTCAGCATCCGTGGATTGTTATGATTTAGAAACAAATTCATGGAGCAGCGAAGAAAAATATCCGCAAGATGTATGGGAACATACATGCATTACTCTATATGTGCCAAGATGTCGAGATGACATGGAAGTTTTACCTCTGTCTAAATGATGACATTATTTTTATTTAAATTAAATTTTATGTGATTAAACATAAGGAAGAAAAGTGCACTTTTAAAAAAAAAAAAAATGTTTTATGTTTTCTTTGTTCTGTGTTATGGGTGTTTAGAAATAATAGTAATGTTAAATTTTATTTCAATTTTCTTAATAGTATTTTATTAATATTTATAAAATGATAAGCTATCGATATTTTTTTACTTTGTAAATTATTGTACATTAAATTTTTTTTAAACATAAGACAAGATAAAATTTAAAACATGATAACTTTAAAATAAAACCTACTCAAAATGTGATCTAAAATAAAACATTTTTAATTTTATTAACTTGTGAGAGAGAGAAAAAAGTATTTTAAAATAAATGTGATATGCATATATATATATATATATAAATATTTATAAATTCATCAATTAGGGATTATTATTACATAAGATATAATTTTTAAACTTGCCATTTAACTTGCCTTATTTGTTGTTTTCCTTTTTTTTTTTTTTTTTTTTTTTTTTTTTTAAATTGTTAATTTTATTGTTGGGTCTGAAAAATATTTGGTAGAGGTTGATAATTATAATGATAAAAAAAAACTATTTATTTCTAAATATTTAATCTGTATTATTTTATTTAAATAATAATAATAATAATAATAAATTAATATATTTAATATTATTTTATATTTGTATGATTACTTTACCTAATAATCTCAAATTCTTCCGGAAAAAAAGTAAAAAAAAATTTGAAAAAGAGTCACTTAAACATTATTGTTGAGAATTTTTAAATTCTTTTAACAGACTTTTTTTTTTTTTGCTCGAAATATATCGTCTGCTTTTGATAACACGTGATCTACATTCGTGTGGTTTTGGTTTTTACCTACATAGTACGTACTTAAATTTGTAAATAAATTTTATAAAATTTATTATATTTTACTACGATATTCAAATTTTTGCTTATTTGATTACCCGATCGGTAGATTTAAGTTAATAAAAAACTATTCATTATTATTATTTCATTTGAAGTAAAAAAAAAAAAAAAAAAAAAAAAAAAAAAAAAAGATATGCGATGTTATTTATAAAAAACGACTAATAATTAACTAACTATTTTATATAAGAATTTTTTAGTTGGAATTATGTCCTCGTATAAATTTGCACAAAAACCTTTCAATTTTGTACCACCTGACAAAGGAAGCTTCCCACTAGATCACGATGGAGTGTGCAAAGATTTAATGATGAAATACATGGATTGTTTAGCAGCGTATAAAAGAGAAAATTCAAAGTGTAGAGAAGAAATAAAAAATTACCTCGACTGTAGAATGAACAATGAATTGATGACGAGAGAATCTTGGAAAAACTTAGGTTTTCCTGAAATAGATAAAAATGAATAATTAAAAAAAAAACAAATGTTTATTATAAAACTGTGACACTAATTAAATATAGTTTTGATCCATTTACAGACAAAAAAAAGAATGTCTTCTATATCGTTAATTAATTGTAATGTTGTCAAAAGTGAAAAAAAGAACATATTGATCGGTTGTACAGGAAGTGTGGCAGCTTTAAAAATTCCCCTTTTAGTCAATAAATTATTGGAAATTAAAAAAGTTAACATCAAAATTGTCACCACTCGACATGCATTGCACTTTTTCAAAAAAAAAGATGTCGGAAATGTCGATGTTTTAACAGATGACAACGAATGGAAATCATGGAAAAATCGTGGTGATCCCGTATTGCACATAGAGCTAACAAAATGGGCTGATTTGTTTGTCATAGCTCCACTCGATGCAAACACATTGGGAAAATTAGCAAATGTATGTAATTTCATTTTAATAACTAATTCTTTAACAACCCTAAATCACATCACATGTCAACACATTATGTTAATTAAAAAAAAAAAACAATTTAATTCTTTATTCCAGGGTTTATGCGACAATCTTTTAACATGTGTAGCAAGAGCATGGAATATGAATAAGCCATTTTTATTTTGCCCAGCCATGAATACGAGAATGTACGAGCATCCCATAACTTCAAAACAAATATCGACATTAACTTCATGGGGATACATTGAAATCCCTGTCGTGTCTAAAATGTTAGTGTGTGGGGATAAAGGATTGGGAGCCATGGCTGAAGTTGATACAATCATACAAGTAATAATTAATTCATTATGCGAATAATAATAATAATTATATAATTTTAATAATGAAAAAATTTTTTTTTTTTTTCTTGTCTAAACTGTGTAGAATATGTTTGAATATAGTAATTATAATAATATCGATTAAATTTATTTCAAATTTAAAAAAAAAAAACCTTCATTAAAAATTTTATGTGATTTTTCATAAGAAAATAATAATAATAATAATGTCACACGTGTATAAAAAAAAAATCAAGTATTTAAAGAAAAAACCGTTGAAAAAAAAAAAAAAAAATTATAATAACCGTTAAGATTCAATTTCAAATTTTAAAAAAAAAAAAACAATTTAAAAAAAAAAAAAATGTAAAATAATAATAATAATACATTTGTTTAAAAAAAGAAAGAAAGGGACAATTTGTTAGGACATAAAAACTACTACTCGACGTAAACGTATAGGAGGACATAGTTGTTAGGCGGTGCTTTGAGTTTGTTCAGGATGCATTACGCAGTTAGTGTTGGTCTTACCGAAGATTGGATGCGTAACCAAAGTTAATAATTTGTTGTTGTTTGTTGTTTGTTATTATTATTATTATTATTTTTTTTTTGAAGTTTATTAATCGTGAATAATTGAATTTTTTTTTTTTCGTTTAAATTAAAATTTAATATGACAATTATTAATTAATTTAAAAAAAATAAATAAATAATAATAATAATAATATTATAAAAAAAACGGTTGTAAAGGAAAAAAAGTCATGATGACGGAAACTGCGATAACTGTTACTCCTAATGAAGGTGCGCCACACGTTAAAACCGATCCTGGACAAGGACAAGGTACCCTGGGTGGATTAAATATTAACCTGGATTATTTTAAAACCGTGCCTGGTATTATTAAATTAGTACAAGCAGTGAGTATATATTAATAATAATAATAATTAAATCTCTATTTTTAAATCATTATCGATGATAAGATTAATTTAAAATTTATTATTATATCGGTATCGAAAGAAAGCCATTTTTTTCTCGACAAAATCTGTTCTGTTGGCTTTAAATAAAAAATATACCTTAATTGTTAACGTTCTGTCGGATTGAATGGTACCCCTTAATTTAATTTATTGTTAATAAAATTTTTAGAAAAAAAAAAAAAAAAAACTCATTGACCCACAATAAGTTTTTTAAGAAACCAAATCTCTCTCTCTCTCTCCAAGTGAGTCAAGTTTTAAATTGTACCGCATTTAAAAAAATAAATTTTCTTTTTTTTTTTTTCTTCTTTTTTTTTCGAAAGTTAAAAATAATTAAAATTTTTTGTTTATTTAATATCGTAACGTTTTTTTGAAAATGGGAACGTGAATTTTATTACTTTGTCCACGCGCACACACATACACACAAAACACTCGCCAAAATAAATGACGAATAACAATTAGACGAATAAATTGCATTTCGACATATAGAAAACAACAAAAAAATTTGGCAAAAAATTATTTAAATCTTAACAAAACAAAAAAAAAAAAAAAAAAAATTCAATCAGTTTTGTTCTTTGCCAAAGTGCCAAAAAAATATAATTGTATTATTTTAAATATATATATATATATATTTGAAGACAAGTTAATTAAAAGTTGAGAAAATGCTTTTAAATAAATGAGAAAAATTCATTTTACGCAAATTCGAAATTTTTTTTTTTTTTCGTTTCGTTTCGTTTCAATGGCAACATGGCGGAGAAAATCTACAGAATTTATTTTTAAAAAAAAAATTTAATAATTTTTTTTCGTTACATAAGAAATTCTTATAGCCAACAGGTGGGTAGTAAACGTTTATATCGATATAAGTAGGTCAAATTTAATAAATTTTTTTTTTTTGGAAATTGTTGTCCAAACAAGATTTTACTGGAATGGAATTTTTTTTAAAAATAAAAATCCGTTACGAAGTTTAAAATAAAATTTTTTCGTAAAAAACAAAACAAAAAATTATTCATTTTAAAAAGAAAAAAAAAAATCATCATCATCGTGATGATGGTGATGGTACGTTTTAAGCCGATTACGTTTATAATGCCGTGGGATAAAAAACAATTCTATAGGTATTTAATAAATGACGTCATGAGAAAAAGGTCGTGGCAGAAGTCAAACGTTCTTTTCTTTTATTTTAAAAACGATGATATGCGCGATGATGTGAATAAAAGAAAAAAAATTCGTAAAAATTTAAAATTTTTCAATGTTCAAAATTGTTTTAAATAATAATAATAATAATAATCGTTTAACGTTGTGTAATAATGTGTTCATTTGAAAAATTCATTCATTCATTCATTCATTCACCGACAGGCTGGATAATTAACACATACAAAAACCTTTTAGGAAAAAAAAAAAAGAAAAAATATTCGCGACTTTTGTGAGTCATAACAAAATCACGTGTCCAAAAATAAAAAATTTAAAATCTGACGAAAACGTTAAATATGGCTACCGGTATAAAAAAAATAAATAAATAAATAAGTGCTTAATTAGCAAATACGCTATTTATTATTTTATTAATGTACCTCAATAAATAAATTATGTTAATTAATTTATTGTAAATTCGACAAAAAAAATAATCGATGTATTGTTCCAAAAATTTACCTGGGGGCTATTTCCCTTCCCCCTCCCCCCGTTTGTTTTTTTTAACTACCAAGTTTGTAGAGAGATATATTAATTACGTCATATAACAAAACAAACAAACAAATTTTATTATACCGTACAAAAACAAAAGAAAAACAACCGAAATTAATAAATTTCATTACCGAGAAAGAAACAAACTTTTTAAATTTATATAAATTTTTAAATTAAAATTTTCTAAATAATTTATTAGTAGGCCCCCCCCACCCCCCGACTAGTATTTATTTATTTTTACGACAGGATAATGTGTCGAGATTAATTCTAAATCCACGACGACGACAACAACAACAAAATAACAACCAAATAAATCTCAGTAAATTACATTATCTAGTTTAAAATTGAGAGAGAGAGAGAGAGAGAAAATCTTGGTTGTGCATCTATTAAATTACCTTATTTATAAAATTTAACTATGTGATAATAATGATGATGATGATGATGATGTTAATGATGATGTAATTCTTTTATTACGTCATGTAAAAACTTTAATTCATAAAGCAAAAAAATTATCATTGAAAAAGGTATTTAAACAAATGACGTCATTTTAGTAATTTCTCAAAAAAATTATTTTAAAATACGACATAAATTTTAAATATATATATATCATCAAATCAATCATATCGAAAATAAATATTATTATAATATGACGTCATAATTTTAAAAACATACAAACAACAAAAAAAAAAAAAAATTATTTGTGGGAAGAAAATAATAAGAAAAAACAACAACAACAACGACAAGGTCTTCGACGTAAAGAGAAATCGTTTGCCTTGAATACAAAAGTTTTCTTTTTTTTAATATTAAAACGAACATAATGCACAATTGCATACAACGACAAACGACAGGCAAACAAACAAACAAACAAACAATGGTATTTAACGAAAAAAAAAAAGGTTAAAAAAGGTATTATTAGAAAAATTTATATCCTTGAATGAAATCAAACCTTTTCTCTGTAATTGTCATAAACGTGGTTGTTGTTGTTGTTATTATTGTTCTTTTTTTACCAACAAACAAACATCTTTAAAAAAAAAAAGAAGAAAAAAAATTAATAAAAAAACATGACAGTATATTATACGCCTACTTTAAGACCTACTCTCTCTCTGTCTCTCTCTCTCTCTCTCTCTCATTTAATAATGAATCCTACGTCACAAAAATAAATTTTTTTTAAATTTCAATTTACCTACAAGAGTAAAATACAAGGTAAATAATGTTTGTCTTTGTCTTTTTGTTTGTCTGTCTTTCTTTTTCTCTTTAAATGGTATACTTAAAAAAAAAAAAAAATATTAACAAACGACAGGTACCACATAAAATCATTCATTCCTCTATATTTATGACGTCATCATAAGTTAAAATTATTTTAAAACGAATACCTCATCATCGTTTATTAATAATACTCGTAAATATATGTTATTTTCGAAATAATACATAAAATTTTGAAATGTAGAAAAAACTTAATTAATTAATAATTAATAATAATTATTATTATTATCATTGTGGGTGAATGAATTATTTTTTAATGACAATTTTTTTTTTTTTTTTTTAATAATAATTTCCTCTGATTATGATAATTAAAAAAAAAAAATTAAATTTTTAATATTTAGCAAAAGGAGAGACACACACATAAATGTCTTTTTTTTTTAAATTTAAATAATAATAAGTATAAATAATAATAATAATAATAATAATAATAATAATAATAATAAAAAAATAATAAGTTTTCAAAAGAAGAAAAAACGTGGGGGGAGGGGGAATCTTTTGGTAAATTAATAAAAAAAGAAAAAAAAACTTTTACTTTCTGCTAGACTATTATTATAGTTTTTTTTTTTTTTTTTTTGCATAGTCATCATAATAATAATAATCAAGGTAAGTGCTGCTTGCTACCATTGCCAAGGAAATTTTTTTTTTTTAAATTAAATTAAATTAAATTAAATTTTAAAATCGAATCGAATCGATCGATAATTAATCGATACAATTAAAATTATTTATTTACGTGGAAAAAATAAATAAATAAATAAATAAATAAACGATTGTACAACTTCAAATATTATTTATTCTATCTATGATTGTTGGGGAAAAAAATAACATTTTCTCTGACCTACTGTTAACCAAATAATAACAATAATGATAATAATAATAATAATAATAATAAATCAGTATATTATTTTTTTTTAATCGCGCCTTAAGGATTTTCCATACCAAATTTAAAAAAAAAAAAAAAAAAAAAACCTGACCAAAAATTTTACAATGCACTTTTTTATTTTTTTTTAATAAGTTATTAAACAACTTTGATAACTATTAATAATAATAATAATAATAATAATAATAATAATAATAATAATAATAATAAATAAGTGAAAAAGAGAGAGAAAGAAACGGAGAAGAATTTATAAAAAAATATTTTTAAAATCAGGTTTTTTACAATTTTAAAAAAAAACGAAACGAAATATTAACAAAATAAATAAATAAAAAATTATTATTATTATTATTTTTTGTTTTTATTTATTTATTTATTCTTTCTGCTTTTCATTTTATTTATATTAAAATTTAAAATTGTTTAAATATCTGACGAGTACTTCGTATTGTAAAAAGAAATTTTTTTTTCTTTGCAAATCACACAGAAACCCAACAATATTCATTATAATTAATAATAATAATAATAAATTTAATAGTGATTTAATATCGTGATGATGATAATGATAATAAAATTTTCATGTTATTATTATAAAAAAAAAAAATTGTCGTTGTGCACACGAGCGATTGTAAACATGGCGAAGGAGGAAGTTGTTTAAAATAACGGTTTGCTTATAAGGTACGAACTTGAATTTTTAATATTATTAATATAAAGTTTACTCAAAGTTTTTTTTTTTTTTTTTGTTATTTAATATATCGGACGATGAGTTCATTGACCTCTATAATACCTTTATACCTTCTATTATATAACAGGTTTTTTGCACGGGAAGCAAAATAACGAATTGATATATAGGATTTCCGATTCTTTTTGTTAATTTTTATCGCAAACTAAAAAACACAAACCTAAACGACCTAAATTATAATAATTTAATATTTTATTATTATTATTATTATTATTTTTTTTTTCTAAATACTTATTAAAGTCGTTATGTAAAGAAAAAATAAATAAATAAATAAATTCTCTCTATAAGAATTTTTTTATTTTAATTTTGTTTTTAACGAGTTTGTCGTCACGTGTAAAACTTTAGAATTAAATTTATTATTATTATTATTATTATTACGACGAATAATAATATTTTCTTTATTGATTTACGATTTGTGGGATGTTGAAAATAATAATAATAATAATACTAATAATAATAATAAATGTTAATTTCGATCAGGTTTTCATCCCATGATTGATAATTCCGTAAACATATTTTGAACGTGTGGAGAAAAAAAAAAACAAGAAAATCGCAAAAAAATTAATTTGAATTTTTTTTTGGGGGGGAGGGGAGGGGGAAATAAAATAAATAAATACGTGAATGAAATTTCATAGCAGAAATGAAATTTTTTTCAAACGTTTCCCATAAAAAAAAAAAAAAAAAAAAAAAAAAACAAAAAAAAAAAATTCGATCATGATGGATACCTGAATTTGGCAATTTTTTTTTTTTTTTTTTTTCAAAATATTTTTGAGTCGAATGGCCAGCAGACGAAAAAAATTAAAAAATTTTTTTTTTTATTTCGACATGATGTGAGGGGTAGCAAAAAAAAAAAACGCCCCCCCCCCAAAAAAAAAAAGAAAAAATGAAAAAAGAAAAAATTTAAATGAATGAGGGGGGCGATATTTTTTTTTTTTTTTTTTTTTAACCTAAAGCATCGACCCGTAATAATAATAATAATAATGATAATAAAATTTCTTATTTAAAAATTTACGTGCATGCATGCATGCATGAATGTACGTACGTACGTAACAACGGCACATTAATAATAATAATAATAATAATATTGCACTGACGGTTAAATAACGGGAAAAAAAAAATTTTCGCGTTGTCGGATGTATCCGGAAAATTAAATTTAAAAAAAAAAAAAAATTTATTTATTTATTTATTTTATTACAATTGTGTCAAAGTTATTTTTAAATAAGAAAAAAAGTAATAACGTTAATAATAATAATAATAATAATAATAATAATATTTTTAAAAAATTTTTATACAATTCATCATTTGTGAAAATTTATTTGTATGATGATCGTCAACGGAATTTGGGTCAACTCGTACGATTTTTTTTTTTTTCCTGTAAATTCGTAATGTACGACCGACCTCGAATTTTAAATTAATCATCATTATCACTGATTAGAGTTATATGACGTAATCATTTCTCAAATAAAAAAAAAAAAAAACTTTTGCCAACAAAACGATGTAGTTTGTTTTTTTTTTCTTGCATTCAACTTTACTTCGAAAAAAAAAAAAAATTCTTTCGAATAATTTTTTTTCCCCCATATTTTTCTAATCCCCCCCCCCCAAAAAAAATTATTTAGAATAGTGAAAAGGTCAATCAACTTTAAAATAATAATAATAATAATTATTATCAAATTCTCTTATTCGATATTCAATTTAAATTTAAATTTAAAAAAAGTGGCACATTTCGTATAGTTTACATGACAAAACAATAAGAAATAAACACCCACTTGTATTATTATTATTATTATTATTATTATTATTATTATTACCCTTGTCGTATTAAATTCGATTTCTTTTTTTCATCATCATCATCATCATCATCATATGTTTATTTGAGAAAATAAAAAGCAAAAAAAAAATGACGAAAAACATCATCAGCGTCTTGTTGTATATATACATTTTAAATGATCTTTTCATCAATGAAAAATTTTTATTTATTTATTTATTTATTTTATTTATGCAATTAAAAAGTTTTTTAAACGTTTATTTCTATTTAATAAATTAAAAATAAACCAAAATGTTTTCTTTAAAAAAAAAAAAAAGTAATATTTTTGTCGTTTTTTTCTCAAAAAAAAAAAAAAAATTTTTTTTATAACGGTCGAAATTTTTAAATTTTTTATTTAAAATTGAATTATTATTATTATTATTATTATTATTATTATTATTATTATTATTATTCAATTAGGTTTTCAAAATCTATTGATATCGATTACTTCATGTTTTTCACCGTAAGATAAACGACCCATTCATAAAATAATACCGATCGATACCATTTCATTTTAATAAATAAATAAATAATTCAGCAAGAAACCAATAATCAATCAATCAATCAATTTATTTATTTATTTTTTTTAGTTTTTTGGAATAATTTGCATGGCAGCAGCATCTCCGGCAAGATTATCAGCAACAAGTTGGTTTCTTTTCGTCGTAGTTTCCTGTTTCATATCGACTCTTATATGGATATTCGTTTATCTTTTATCTATTCGCGAAGCTCTTAAATTACCAATTAATTGGACATTGTCGGTAAGTTTAGTTACCCTAATCACGATCATAATCGTTATTATTATTATATTATTAATTTAAAAAAAAAATATTATTCACGGTCATTCCTTACTAAAAAAATTGGCTATTAATCAAAACTTATTTATTTATTTATTTATTTATTTTTTATGTATTTAAAGTCGAAAATCAAATCGAATTTGCTGAAAATTTCAATATAAATATTTATTCGATAATAAACATTTTCGATCCTCGTCGTCGTTAATTTTATTTTGTAAAACTCTTTAACAATAATGATAATAATAATAATAATAATAATAATGAGTAAAAACAAATAATAAAATTTTTTATTTTATGAATTACGGAAGCGTGTTAAATCAGGTTGTGAGACCAACGGATGAGGAGGTTTTTTTTTAAATTTTTGGGTGGATACCACCCAATTAGATATGCCTGAATTTTTTTTTTTTTTTTTTATAAATTCCCAACCATTAAATAACTAACTAAAAAAATCTCAAAAAAAGATTCAAATTTTTCTCCCGAAATTTCGCGTCCGTCACGATTTACAAAAATAAAAATTTATATAAATATTTTAAAAGTGTGATTTAAAACCGAACGAAAGAACGACGGAAGAATATAATTTACGATGAGCATAAACGAATCGAAAACAAATTTTTAGTTTTTTAGTTTTATGACATTTCAAACTTTGGCCCAATATTCTACATGAGAGACAGCAAAAGAGAAAATTGGCGTCACATCAAATCAATCAATAAATATCTCTCTATCTCTCTCTCTCTCTCTCTCTCTCTCTCTCTCTCTCTCTCTCTTTGGGGATATCGATTAACAAAAACCATACATATATTATGTTAAAATCGTGACGTCATTAATATTTACAAACTTTTCATCGCGATCGTTTTTTTTTAGTTATACGAAAAAACTCACAATTAAAATTACTTTATTATTAATTATCACTCATGCGTATAAATAATAATAATAATAATAATAATTAATAGCCGTGTTATTATTATTATTATTATTCACCCGTAATGTTTAACTTATTGTTAACAAATACGTAATCGAGAGAAATAAATGGTCGAATTAAAATTTCCGTTTGATGTCAAATAAAGACAAAATTATTATTATTATTATTATTATTATTATTATTATTATTATTATTATTATTATTATTATTATTATTATTATTATTTTTATAAATTTTTTTCTCGTTACAGGAACTTTTGAACACGATAATAAAAACTGTATTTTACGTAACAGCTTTTATATCTCAATTGTCTGCGTGGTCCCCCATACATCATTCGGCATGGCCGAGAGATTCTAATTTAACTGCGGGGGTAAGTAACGAAACGAAAGGAATAAATTTTCCCTACTTGTACGAAACAAATCAATCGCATTATTATTATTATTATCATTTACTCATTGTCAAAGCCAAAGAGTCTCTCGTTATAAAAAAAAAAAAAAAAAAAAATTGAAATTAAATTGGTTAATAAGATTGTTTACCAAATGAAAAGTTTCAAAAATTGTTTACATATTTTAAAAAACAGTCGTACCATATTTACGTTACGTTGGCACCCCTGATTTAAAAAAAAAACGATTTAAACACACACAACTTATTATAGTGATAAACTTCATTAAAGCTTTTTTTTTTATACGAAACAATTTTATACCTTTTTTTAACGAAGAAGAAAAGAAAAGAACAGCAGATGGTACTCGATCATCATTTTATTAATTTCATAACAAATCAAAATGCCTGAAGGTAAATGTAAATGCATCACAGGCACACAGGCACACACAACCGAGCCTCACCTATTTAAAAAAATTTTTTTTTTTTTTATCTTGTTGCATTCTTTACAACTTTTTAACTCTTAAAAAAAATCATTATTATCTATTTGTTATTGTGTCGTTTTGTAACATCCGGAAAAAAAAAAAACTTTCTTTTTATTCTCGAATTTTCTTTTTTTTTCGGAAATCTATGAGATTAAAGAATTATTAAAAGATTTACTAAATGATTTGT